TGCTGTGTATGCGCGTGGCGTGCGAGCGTGCGTTACGTACGTACGCACGCACGCACGCACGACGCACGGCACGTACGTACGTTTGTATGTAAGTGTGTGTGTGTGTTGTGTGTGTGTGGTGTGTGTGTGTGTGTGTGTGTGTGTGTGTTGTGGGGTGTGTGTATGTATGTATGTATGTATGTATGCATGCATGTATGTATGTATGTATGTATGTATGTATGTATGTATGTATGTATGTATGTATGTATGTATACATACTCGGACAAGGACTGTCGCTGCAGCTGCGCGTGTCCGTGTCTGCGCCTGCGCAGTCCGCTACGTCACCGGACGGCTCGCACGCCCTCTGGCGGGTAGCGACTCCGGATCCGCATGATACCGAGCATGTCGACCAAACTGTCCATTGCGACCACGTGTCGCATACGTCATCAGTACAGTTGAGCTGTCCGCCAGCGCAGACGCTACCGAGGAAAACATACATAGATACTATCAGGAGTGAATAATCGATTATTAATCATTTATTATAAATTTTATTTTTTATTTTTTATTATAATATTTTATTATTAATCTATTATTAGTCACTCCTGATACTATACTAGTGTCAAAACACATGTAATGTCTTAAACGTGTCTAGGAAGTGTTCAGTAAGTATAGGCTAGTTCAGTGTGTCTCACACGGTTGAGAGTTCATTTTTATTATGCGCATTGACACGCATGCACGTGCATGCTAACTCTGTCTATGCCGAAGTGATGTGCATATTAGGAATGAATAGTTATTTGTCGTATCTTTCTTTATTCACGTATTCAACCAGAGGGCTGCCATATTAATAACACCTGCCTTCGTGCGTACTCCCATTCAAGTAACATCGGCGTTTGCATAACTACAAACTGCATCTCCTAGCATCTAATTAAGCTGGGTTTACACTACCGACGTTGTGTTGGCGAATTGGCGAATTGGACCAAATTCCCAACTACACAACCGACAATCGGCAGTGTAAACGCAAGAGTTGCGCGACCAACCGATCGATAGCAACTAGTTGGGAGATTAGAACATGTTCTATTTTCGCCAACTCCGGGAAGTTGGTTGAACTCGCCAATTCGCCAACGTAAAGTGGGTAGTGTAAACCCAGCTTTAAGTAGACAGCTAGAGACAGTAGAAAAACAACAACACACTGCCATCGGATATACCTACCAGCTGTTACAGTCCTCAACGATGACGTCACCGGCTAGCACCTCGACGTCATACGTGACGTCAGCGTCTGTTATGAGACCAGAGCAGGGGCAGTCGGCCTGCGCCACGCATGTGTCGCCATCTAGAAGCTGACCTGGTGGACATTGGCATCCGGGGATGCAGGCGGAAGGTTCTACGCAGAGGCTGGTCGGAGAGAGGTCCTGGCAGGACCGCGGGCAGGCCGACGAGCAGGCGACGTACTCCTGCCCAGGCAGGCACTGAGCATCTGCAAGGTTGCGCGCGAAAACCAAAAGCGGTGTTTTTACGAGATTCACTATATGCGTCGATATGTGTGTAAACTCTTTTAACATCTACACTGGAAAGCTATCGTCTGTAATACGCGCGCACACACACAAGCATGGCAGCCGCGGTCGCTGTGTTGCCATTGAAATAATACTAGCTAGACAACTACAGCTACACAACTATAGCTACACAACTATAGCTAGACAACTATAGCTAAACAACTGTAGCTACACATCTATAGCTAGACAACTATAGCTACACAACTATAGCTAGACAACTATAGTTAGACAAGTTTAGCAAGCGTACCTGGGCACTGCTGAAAGTTACAGGCCCACGTCATGTTGGCAGGTCCGTTGCAGGGCTGGCCGAGACTCTGGGCAGGCGTGAAGGCACGCGAGCGTACCTTAGTGCCTCCGCCGCAGCTGCTGCTGCACTCCGACCACGACGACCAGTCCTTCCACGCACAGTCAACTGAAATGTTTGCCACTCGATGGATTAGATGAGAAGTTTAGATAGATGAGTTTACTTTGCAGTGTTATAAGGCAATCAATCAGGAGCATACATGCATGAATGTAAAAGGTACACGTACGTATATGCGTGCAATGAGAGTGCACGCAACCAATTTCTCTGTTAAAATACTCAAAGAAATTTCTTACAGGAAATCGATGAATTTTGAAATCGCACTTCGTGTGTGTTGATTGCAGGACATTATATTGCACTCTTAACCCTTGTAGCGAAGCACCCTTAGACTTAAACCATCGAAAGGTTTTGCATCGGGGAAAAAATAACTGGGTGCGACATTGCTTTGCAGGAAGGCGAGTCCATGCATAAATAAATGAATAAATATATA